TAGTATGTTACCATATTCTTACAAGAAATTGAAAGGAAAAATTGGAGCCGTTTTTGAGAAAATATAAAAATGTCTGGATGGCTTCGTTTAAAGGACACTCAAATTTTAAAGAATGTTTTTCAAAATCTCAAAGTTTCGACTCGAGCGAGATAGACAGGGGTTTCTTCAATTTGGAAAAAATCTTACTACGGCGTAGGCGCTAGTGATGTTCACAGACGGGCGTTTTGCCGTCAATTGATTTTTCGGTATCAAGAACCCACAAAACAGGGATTCTTACTTCACCACGTGTTAGTGGATTTCTCCCCTTAATTTAGCAACTCCACTTTTTCGTTATCAGGTCTTGTGAATGATTTTTTTCTGCCGAAAATCTGCCGTTTTTTCACACGGCATTACATAACTTTCCCTATACTACATATATTACTCCGTGTATATGTATGTATACGGGAAAGTAAAAACAGGGCTACTTGGACCCACGCTCACAGTGGTGTCAAGTAACCTAAAACTTTTTTTATCCTTTTAATGCTTTAATCGTTTTATTTCGATATTTAAAACTTCAACAATAGTGATTTTCTCTTGTTTTTACAGTAATCTAACCGCAATCATAACCTTTAAGACAGTTTGCAGTACGTATTTGGAAGTGGTTGTACGTTAGTGCGTGGGGGGGGGGTGTTATTAAGTCCGTGGGTGGTGGCGTTTCCTATGGAGGGGTGGGTTGTTGAGGATATGGGTGTGAGGAGCAAGGAAAGGGGTAAATTTTGGGTTGTTAAGTGCTTTCGTCACACGAGTCTTAGCGTGGTTGTATATTTCAGTTTGAATTTTTGTCAGTCTTGTTTTCGTCTTGATCGTGGGGTATCTGGTGAGGGGCGGAGATCGAAAGGCCAGTCGGATGAAGCGGTTGTCAACTTTTTTAAGAATGTCGTTGGCGTAGTAGTAGCTGCCCAGGTCTCGGATCCATAGCGTAAAGTCGGTTTAACGTTCGTATTGTAGATGTATTTCTTTGTCGTGCTGTGTAGTGTCGGATGGGAGATGAGGGGAATCAATGCACAGATTGCTCGATGTACGTTTTTCGTCATCTTTTACATGGTCTGTCCAATATAGTCGTCGGTCGAATATCAGTCCTAAGTATTTCACTGTGTGTCCATGGGATGGGGATGCTGTTAATAGTAATGGGGGGAGAGTCATGATTTGTTCGTAAAAGTGGAGAAAATTATTGCATTGCATTTTTAGTCTGTTGTTCGTGGCACAGTGTGTCAGTAAGCCGGAGTTACGTTGTAGTTTAGGGATAACTATTGGTAGTAGGTTGTTGGTTGCAGCAAAAGCGGCGGCGTCTGCGTATAGGCAGTCGTTTACATCTCGTACTGTGGGTATGTCGTTGATGAATAGGAAGAACAGGGTGGGTGAGAGCACGGCGCCCTGGCGGACGCTGGCTTGGATTGGACGGCGGGAGGACAAGCAAGAAAGGTGTTTAACTTGGAGGGATCTGTTCGATACGTAGCTACGTCGGAGATGCTGGAGAAAGATGATGTGTAGGCTGATTTTAAGCAGGAGGATGTAATGGTAAACGGTGTCAAAGGCGGTGGTAAAGTCGATAAGAAGTTCAGGTACTGATCATAAAATGTGTAGTCGGGTTCGTATGTCACTGGCGAGTCGTAGCGTCTAAAGTGGTGCTGTCCTCCCGGAAGCCATTTTGGGCCGGACGTACGTGATTGTCAATGATAGAATTCAGTTGATGAAGGATGATTTTATCAAAAACCTTGCTGACGTTGGAGATGCGGCTGATCGGTAAGTAATTATTTGGGTCTCTATTGCTTTTATGGGGCTTCGGTATCATCTTGAGTGTCGCGTGTTTCCATATGTCAGGGTAGTACTGTAGTCGGATGCAGTTGTTAAAGATGAGTCAGATGTATGTCGGTTTTTTTTAGTCGCCATAGTTAGAATAGTCTTCGATAGTGCTGATTTTCTGTAAGGATGTTGCATCCTTTTAACATGGTAAACAGTTATTCAGATTTATTGCGTCAGATTTTTACTTATCAATGGGTGGCAGAACTGTTACTGTTTTCGAAGATAATATCCCAAGGCGAGAATGGATAAAATACTTTTTAGCCATCCATAGTTACCGATTAAAAATAGGATAATAAGTGTATGTCAGCTATTGAAGTTATCTTCGTGTTTGTAGTACATTAATATTCATGTTTGTATAAGAAAACCTAAGAACACATGGATCCAGTGCAAATCTTACGTCAATGGTTTTATGTACGAAAGCATCGCCTGGATTCAAGCAGCTCTCACAACTCAAACTTCAACTGTGTAACTTTTCAACAAAAAAAATTATTTGCGGTTTGTGCTAACTATATATTATCAAACTACTCTCAAGCACTTTACAATAACCCGTAGATCTAAAGAAACCTTTTTAAAAAAAATATTTTTTCAAGGGCTAGTAAAGGAAAAACAACGAAAGTATTGAAAAATGGGTCCAAGATGCCCACGGCACTTAAATTACTGCACAATCCAAAGGAACTGCCGGCAGTATCGTAAGAAACGCGTCAGCTGCAGCAATATACCACACACTGATTCATAAAAAGTTCATATTTTTTGTTACTGAGATCCCACTTTGATTTTTTTCTAGTTGTCAACCATGCGTTTAAATTTTTTTAAAAATTAACTTAAAATTTAAATTTTTTGCTCATCGAGTTTATAAAAATATTCAATTTTCGAAAAAATCTAAAAAATTAAACATTTTTTAAGTTTCGAATGGAATTTAAACGGAGTTTCTATAATTAGTGTATTCACGTATGTGATACTTTTAAGTTAGTAATGCGCGTCATTTTTAGCAAATTTCAAAATGCAATATTTTCGAAAATAATGAAGTTAGAAATAAATGCGTGTGTTAACTTTTTTGATCCTTATAATGTAGATAATAGAAAGAAAATGGACAATACAAATATGAAAGTTAAACTTTGGCCTTTTTTGTCCAATTTGACGTGGAATGGCTCTGGTATTCAAATTGCAAATTATAAAACAACATCCAAGCAGCTACAATATAATATATTTGTATACTAATATATTTTATAAGTTATTCATTAAATACATATTGTGAGCAATACTGATTATTAAACTAAATTGTTTAATACAAGCATACGGCATACTGCTTTATGTACATTTTGATCAAACTAATATTATTTAAACAAGGAGAATTCAAATGATATTTTTTTATTTTTTACTGTACTTTTAAATTTTTATAAAAAATACTTACCCTAATTTTACCCTTCCACCTCCCCGCTCCAATAAAAGATCCGAAATTCGCCGTTGCTCATCAACATACTGTTTGTCATACAACCGAATAAAATGAGCTTCACTAACAGGCCGCCACCCTCACTCGAAAGTTATCTCAGGTTGTACTTGTCTTAAACTGCTGTTGTTTGGGGCCATTCGAAATGATAGAAAAACATTTCCGAAAACAGGGCATGATGGCACACAGTACTCCTTTCTCTCTCTTCTTGGCGTCGTATAGGATACATTGAAATTATCCGCTGTTGTCTTTCCAAAAACACGCCCAATATTATTTCAGGGTACAGCATGAAACAAACTTGGGATACCTCCATTTTGGTTACTTGTGTATTTTTGTGATTAACTTAGTAAATATCGCGATTTTATAATCATGAAACAAAAATACTACTTGTACGGCACTATATATACTACTACACAGCAAACTATTATGTATTAAATGTTGTTTATCGTAACACACTTCACATAATGGTGTATTTACAGCAAATTTGTCTCAGTGCAGCTTTCAGTCGAGTGTTGAAAATTGGAATATATTCAGGTGCCCCATTAGCGTAACGAAATGATTGCGGCAATTCGGCATGATCTCCCGCAAAATGTTTATCCGGGCCCTTTTTATAAAAGTGAATAGCAAACACAAGTAGTGTTAGTACGTTAAATAAAAAATTAAAAAATCCAATAAACGAAGGCCCTCTTTTACCTGGGCCCGCCCGCATTGCGGGCCTTGCTGGTTCCAACATTACGCGCTTGAGGAGCTCTCGTGAAGTAGTACCAAAAACATTGTAGCGCTAGTTGTGTTTGTTTAGCTTTTGTCTTTAAGGTAGAAGGCGCGCCAAATTTACTTTTGATATCTGGGAAAGCACTGTTTTGAAGAGCAAAGTATGAAATAATTTATAAACAAGTCAGCTGCTTCACTCCGAAGCAATGTCCTCATCATTTAGAAGAATTATTCAACGTCCATAGATAATAATTTTCGGCAAGTTCTTTGGTGATGAACTCCCAAATATTATACCTTTGTTTTGCTTTGTTAAACGCAGAATAAGTGGTCTACATGTTTTGTTTTATCATTTCTCTCTAAAATCATTACAATTCCTCAATTTGCTATTTCACCACAATGATCATTGCTTAAATGTGAAGTAATAAATGGTCAGAAGAAAAGAGATAATTATAAAAAAGTTCAAAAGTATAAACCTGTTAGTTTTTAGTAATACCTTAAGAGGAAATGCATTAACGAAATGAGAGAGAAAGTTTTTTGTTGTTGTAATATAATTAATTAATTAATCATCGCAGTTAGATTGCTACTAATGTATATGATCAAACAATATGCTAACTTCCATCAGGTTGAAAATTTCATTACCATGTTTAGGAAAACAAATTTAGATCAACTTTTTAAACAGTGCTTTTTATTCATGTAAATGTAGTCTATTCACATACGTTTTTTCAGAAGATAAATAAATTAATTAAATCAATCTGTATAAAATGAGTTTGAGGGTTATGTTGTATATTAATAATTGATGAATTGTTGTTGTGATTACTAACAAGAAGAGAAGTTTTATATTATATACAGAATAAGCCATGAATTTGTAGTAAAAAATTCCATTCATCAATTGGAATCAGCATCTTTATAGCCAATTTATTCCGGTTAATTACCCATTTTTCTGTTTTCTTAAAGTTAGTTGAGTATGACTTGAATTCATTGTGTTCATGTTCTTTTGCAGAAACAAAAGAAGTGAAAATTAAAAGATAGAAATGGAACCTCGAAAGCAGCCAGTTTCTCCTGAAGTAGCTCTTGCCTCTGATGTTTTTGATCAGTTTTGCAATGCATCTACTCTCAAGACCATCCTTGGACATCACCGTCATCTGTGTGAGCTACTACGAATTAAACCAACTGCCTTTCCCCAATTTTATCCAAAATTGAAGGTATTAAAAATAATGTTTTCATAACTATTATCAAAATCATCTCTATCGTCAAAGTAAACCATATTAATAGTTTTCAAAAAGTAAGAGAACTGATTGGCAGTGAATAGTACTATTGTTATGAAAAATGCCACATTTTATGAATGTCATAAATAATACATATACATACATACACAGACGATAGAGATTGTTTTCATGTATACATGAAATGTTAAATGTTATAATAATTCATGTACACAATTGTTTTCTGATATTTTACTAATTCTTTCATTCTTTTGCAGTTAAAATTACGTTCCTGGAAGGCTCAGGCATTATGGAGTAAATTTGACAAGCGAGCAAGTCACAAATGTTACAACAGAGGCAAAGCTTGTCCTAACACACGGGTATGTCTTACAGGAAAAATGGTTTTGTATTTTTGATTTTACTTTAAAAACTTGAAGAAGAGTGCTAAATTATCAGTATTGTTGTTGTTTCCAAAATAACATTTATTGTGTTAGCTAAGCAGTGCATAACGTTTTGTCTGGTTTGTTCTGCAGGTGTTGATCATTGGGGCAGGACCATGTGGTCTTCGAACAGCTATAGAGGCTCAACTTTTAGGTGCCAAAGTTGTAGTTGTGGAAAAACGAGACAGGTTTTCTCGAAACAATGTGTTGCATTTGTGGCCTTTTGTCATAGCAGATCTCAGAGCTTTAGGTGCTAAGAAATTTTTTGGGAAATTTTGTGCAGGCTCCATAGATCATATAAGTAAGCATGAATGAAAAATGGCAGTGTTTTTCTGCAGTTCATTGTTTTCTGAATTGCAACTTTTTAATTCTAAATAATTCAGATTTATAACATTGTGTATATATTTTGTAGGCATACGACAGTTGCAATGTATATTGTTGAAAGTAGCACTGATTCTTGGAGTAGAAATTCATGAAGGAGTTGGTTTTGAAGGTCTGATTCCCCCACCTGCTGACCAGTCAAGTGAAAGTAAGTGCAACTTCCATTGCTTTATAAACAAAAACAAAAAAAATGATGTTTTCTGCACTGAGGCTGCATCATGTAATCATCTAGTGATTTTGCAGAAAAATATGAAATTATGATAAATGTTTTATTCACCTCTCCCCAGAAATTGGATGGCGAGCAGAGACAAGCCCTCCTGACCATCCAGTTTCTCAATATGAATTTGATGTATTAATTGGTGCTGATGGAAAAAGAAATACTTTAGAAGGTAAGAAGTTTGTGTTTACAATGTTATATATGTTGATATATTTTGTACAGGTTTTTGTTAAATTATATAATTTTCAGGTTTTAAGAGAAAGGAGTTCAGGGGGAAATTGGCAATTGCCATAACTGCTAATTTTATTAATCGTCATTCAGAAGCAGAAGCTCGTGTTGAAGAAATTAGTGGTGTAGCTTTTATTTTCAACCAAAAATTTTTTAAAGATCTTTATTCTGCCACTGGAATTGATCTTGAAAATATTGTTTATTACAAAGATGAAACTCATTATTTTGTTATGACTGCGAAAAAACACAGTCTCATCGATAAGGGTGTCATTCTGCAGGTTAGTAGCTGTATCCTGTGTTTACAAATAGTCCATTATGGTTTTATTTGTTTCTTACATTTTAAGTGTTGCTTTAGTCACATTTTAATGTATTTTGAAGTTAAAATTACATTGAAGAGGTGTTCGTTGATTAGTGATGTTGCATAGTGTCATAAACATGAATCTAAAAAAATAAATAGTGATGTACATTTATGTATTATTGTTAAGAAGTGTAGGCAACTTCCAGATGTAAAATTTTCTTTTACATGAAACATTGCTTTCAAAATTAAAATAGAATTTTACAAAGGAGTTAAAATGCTTGGTATTTCCTTACTAAAAGAGATGATCTTGTGTGCTTTCAATTTACCTTTCCTATTCTTGATGTTCAAAATATTTTAACTTATTTTTCCATAAACTGCTTTAACTTCCCAGGAAACAATTTTGAAACCCCTATTTCACCATCACTAAGCCATCAACAAACATTATAAAGATCAGTATAATATTGATATTACATTCTGCAAAACATAACTTTGTGACAATAAACATGTTGCCTAGCCACACAACCATCCATCTACAGAACACAAATTTGTCTTTATGCAACTCTTGAATTTTTTTTTTTTTTAAGTTATAAAATGGCAAATATGAGAAATAAATAAGTTACAAATAATGTGGTGTAAATCACCTCAGACCTGAAGTCAGTGACAAAAATATATTATTTTAATCGTGAATAACTGGGTAACTATTATACCTGATTGTCTGTTTTTGCTCTGTTTTAGGATTACACAGATACTGCAAAATTATTAGGGTTAGAGAATGTAGATAAAAATGCTCTTCAAAATTATGCCCGTGAAGCTGCTGATTTTTCCACAAATTACATGCTTCCCCATTTAGAATTTGCAGTGAATCATTATGGCCAGCCAGATGTTGCAATGTTTGATTTTACTTCTATGTTTGCTGCTGAGAATGCCAGTCGAGTTGTGGAACGTCATGGATACAGGCTATTGCAAATTCTTGTTGGTGACAGCCTACTTGAGGTAAAGTATTGATGCTTCTTGAAACTTTTTATGTATAAATTTACTCTTTGATGCGTGTATATTAATTATTTTCCTCAAACATTAAGAAGATCTCATGTGCCTAGCAAATCATTAATTATTTGACTCTTACAAATATATATTTTCAAATTAATTCTTCCATAATCAATACTCTTGTCAGACTAAAGTCCCGTGAAATCTAATTTTTCTGAATATGGGAAGTGTTTGGGTACAAGAGAATTGTTTCTGTTTTTCAGGAGTGGCAACCCATAAGCACATTATAAGAGCAAGAAATTTAAAAGTTCTTGATTTTGTTGCATAATATTTTTATTATTACTGAATAATTATTTATAATCTAAACACTTATTACTGTTTTTAGAAAATATGTATATTTTACAAGCGATGTAATATAAATGCTTTTATATTATGTGAAACTGTAGATACTCTAGTAACTCATGGAATACTTCTTTATTCTTTGCAGCCCTTTTGGCCAACTGGATCTGGCTGTGCTCGAGGCTTTTTAAGTTCCATGGATGCTTGTTGGGCCATTAAGAGTTGGGGTGGTGGGCAAGTGACTCCTCTAGATGTTGTAGCAGAAAGAGAAAGCATATATCGAATGTTAGGTCAAACCACTCCAGAAAATTTGCATAGAGATTATAACAGCTACACATTAGATCCACATACTCGCTATCCCAACCTTAACATTAGAGCTGTCATTGGTCTGCAAGTCCGCAATTTATATGATACAGATGATCCAGGAAGTATTGAGCAACCATTGCCTGCTCTAGCAAGTAGTGAAGCTCCAAAGAAACGAAGACGAAGAGGTAAGTATTTACCATTGTGCCATTGATGTGATAAGAAATCTGATATTGACGAGTAATCTTGGAGTTGCAAAAATGTGATAAAGAAATTCAGTAAATGTATACACTCCATAAAATGTTAATAAAATAGTGTTACACTCTTGGATATAAAAGTTTTTCTTAATTATAGTTATTGAAGTTTTATGCATTGACTTTAATATGAGTTCTGAATATACTTTTACATTTGTTTACTTTCCATGCTTGATGTACTTCAAATACTGATGACTGGTGATTGTGGTTTACAGTCAAGGGTGGGTGTTCAGTTTTTACCTTCTTGTGATATGCATGCACTGAGTGCTGCATGACATCATGATTGAGTTATGACAACATAATTGAGAAGCATGTTATCAAGGTTTTAAAATGATTTATATCTTTTCAAGCATCATATAGTTACTAATTTTTCTTATTGATGATCTAATGATAATCTTAATGACATTCTTGCTGAGGTAATTCATTTTTTGCTGATGTTTTTAAATCATTATGAAATATTTATTGCAACGAGCATGGGCTTTCTCAAAATGCATTTAATTTTATTCACTGGTGATGGAGTAGTTTTTTAAAACTTTTCATTACTATTATTATTATTAAATTGTTTCTTTTCTTATGATTAATGTGAGTTTAAAACAAAAAGTTTTGAATAATGGTGTGCTTTGAATGATTAATGAAATTAACAAAGCTTAATTTGTTTGTGTGTTTAATGCATGAAATTATGCAATTTAATACTGTACTTACTAACAGTTATTAGACATTTCCGGGTTTGTAGGCCATGGTCCAACGGAGACTGGCCCATACGTTTTGCCTGCAACTGTGGCAAGCATCATCAGTGGCTTTGCTGGCAGGGACAAAGTGTTCTTCTTGGCAGCACTGCGTTGACTGATGCTCCCGCGGCTCTGCGACCCGTATTTATGGTGAATATTCACTTCGCCTAGCCAGCAACGTCACTGATGATGCCTGCCATAGTTGCAGGCAAAACATATGGATCAGTCTCTGATGTACCAGAAAACCCAGAAATGTCTAATTATGTAGAAACTGGACATGAAAGCCTTCATTATTTGTTATTAGCAGTTGGTTGATGTGTGTTTCATATACTTGAATTTTGTGTGTCCATAAACTGTTATTATTTTACATAATCTAAATACTTATTAATTATTATTATTATTATTATTATTATTATTATTATTATTATTATTATTATTATTATTATTATTGCACAAAATAAGAGTTGTTGTCAAATTATCATTTTCAACTTTCGCCGCCCAACACATTGAGTTTGTTTGACTTTCTTTTACTTTTAAATTTAACTATCATAAAATCGGAGGTTATAATTAACTTGCTGCCATTATCTCATTTACTGAGGGATCAAGAAAAGAATATAAGTAAAAATATCATTTCATATTGATGAATAAAGGAAGTTTTTTGGGGGTAATAGTCACTAGATATTTATGTAACCTGTTAAGATAAGGGAAATACCAACTTGGAGGATTTTGATAGGACTAGCATGTGTTACTATAATGACAAACTACCTGAATCCCTGCAATTACTTAACACAAAAGAAAGAACAGTAGAAAAGTTAGAACTGAAAAGAGCTACATATGTACGTGAAAATTGAAAACTCCAAAAGTATTGTGTCATTCTTATCCTCCAAAACTGATGAAATGAGAGAGATTTACAAATTCTGAGACAATCATTCACTATTCTTTCTGAACACTGAGTTAAACATAGTTTCTGAAACTGTAATTAAAATGTATGTTTACCTAGTACTGAACATATATGTTATAGTATTCTATTGTAAGATATTCTGCTATTCACCTTAATTTAAAAATATAATACATAAATTATAATTATAATCACTGGAAAAGTTTTGTAAAGGGGCACATTTGTCAGGCAATTGCTTGCAATGCGTTTATTTATATACATTCTCTAACCTTTGCATTTAAAAACTGTCAATTTTCAAACTTAAAACCCTCACTATCTTTGTTTTGCTAACTAGAACCTCAAGATGAAAGGATACTCTTGTGTTGTAATTGTCTTGAAGTTTGTCTTGAAAATATCATAATGAACAAAGGACAGCAGATAAGGATTCATTCTATTAATTTTAATGTATTGTTAAAATGTATTTCAACTACAAAATCAGTTAATGAGAGCAATATGTAACACATGTAGGGTTCACTACCTTTGATTTAAAAAAATGTCACGAAGTTTAGTTGAGTAAAAAGCTCATATCTTTCTAAATAAAAACAATTATTGGACAGTGATTTTTCTTTTGGCATCATGCAATAATTTATAATCATTCCCAAGAAATGTACTTAGAAATTTCTGTTGCTGAGCTTTATTCACAGCTTTATGTTGCATTTAAAATATTGATAAAAATGGAAATTGATTTCAGCTGTTTATGCATTTGAGATACACTTTTTTCCTCTTGTTTTTTCTGCTTGTACTATTATTTTATAGATTAGAAATGTAGAATATTACTTTATTTATAATTTATATAGATTAGTCAACTTTGTGTTTGAAGTGATTATTTCTAATATTTTTATGGGTGTAACAGATTCACAAGTGCATCCTGATACGTTGTTACTTTGGCTGAAAAAACAAGTAGCTCTTTATGATGTTAAAGTGGAGAACATGACTGATTCATTTAAAAATGGTCTGGTACTTTGTGCAATCATCCATCGGTATCGACCGGACCTCATTGACTTCCCTTCACTTTCACCAGATGATATTGCCAAAAACAATCAGTTAGCATTTGATACTCTAGAGAGGGAATTGGGAGTGCCACCTGTAAGTAATATTTCTCTGTGAACCATGACTTCATAAGCATAACTTTCTAATGAAAAATGTGGTGATTTAATTCATTTAAATCTGTGATTAAAAAAATATGATTCCTTTTTCTTTTTACCAGGTAATGACAGGTCAAGAAATGGAACAGTGTGATGTTCCTGATAAATTGACAATGTTGTCATATCTGTCTCAGATTTATGATACATTTCGAGGAGAAATTCCACATATTAAACACCCTAAACTGGTAATTTATTTATTATCGTTCATTTTAGGAATGCTTTTGTAAAAATTAAAAACAACAAAATAAAAAATGAATTGTAATTAACCACAAATAATGTAAAATAACTTTCATTAGCACTTTGTATCATCAGACATGTCCATGGTTTCAACAAAGTCTCAGGCTAGGTGGTTAATGTAATATAATATATGAAGATGGGCAAATGTTTTTAAAATGTAAATATGGCTATGAAGTGGTAATGAAAAACAATTTTATATCATTGGTGGAAAAGTAAATTACTCTTTTCACTTTCTTATAATGACAGTATGTATTTACTTTGCAACTGATATATTTGAAAGTAATTTTGTAAATAGATTTGTATATTTAAATGTATTAAAGCATTTTTGAAATGGAACATGGTTTTCAAAAGCCTAGCATGTAACATGATCTCAAATTTGATAGGAAAGTTTTACAAAAACAAGAAAGAAAATATTCATTGATAGTAATTGATTCACATCAGTTGTATCAACCTGATGAGATCAAAATATGCTTTCAGGAATGTATCACCAAACTTTTATTGTCCATTAAACATTTTGTCCACAATTATTTGTTCAACCCACAAACCAAGTGGTATTGTCATTCCCAAGTCCATAGCGTTTGGCCAGTTGTAAGTTTTGTCCATAGATTTTTTTTTAGTTTAGGAAATTGTTCCAATATATCTATTGTCTGATTGTGATGGAAACAGTTCAAAGGAATAAATCCATAATGTTTTCATCAATCCATAAATTTTGTCCAGACTTTGGGCAAACAACACATTGCACTCTCGAGAAAGAATCCTAAATAATAGAAAACACAAAAATACACACAAAAAATACATTGCCAAAGAGAATATAATGAATCAAGAATGTGACAAAAATATTGTAAAACATTGCATTGGATATAAAGAAAATGGGGCTGACCTGGGTGGCAAAGGTGGCTAAGAGTGTATACCAATGCAGCACTTCGGTTTGAAGGGTCGCAGGTTCAAGTCCTGCCTTGGGCATAGTTGTTTGTCCCATGACTCCCACGTATGTGTTGTTGCAGAGGGGTTTGCTTTCTGCCGACCCTAGATCAGAGAAGCTCACAAATTTGTTGATGTCTAGTGTGTGGTCTAATGTGTATCCCTATCAATACGTAAAGTGTAACCAATTGTCAGCTGGATAAAAGCCCTAAAATAAGAAGAAGAAGATAAAGAAAACGGACAACTAAAGCAATACTTGAGATCAGTTTCGTACCACATAAAACTACCCAGCAACCTCCAGAACCCTGAAGATGAATATTGATATAAAGGAAATTATACATTTCAAAACAAAACCTGTAATTAATTTATGATTTCTGTGATGTAAATAAATGGCTTTCTTTTGATTAATATATTTCTTTTTATCATAATTACTAGCTCAAAACATTTTAAGAAAAAACTGAATTAGGCAGGGACAAAATATATATTTCACATAGTACTAACTAGTGGTACTGCAGAATGGTATGAACTTTGTCACACTAGGTAGTTTCCTAATCTCTTTAACATGGGTTATCTTATTCAATTTGCCCCACCCCTTTGCCAGCTCTTACCTATCTGTGTCTAAAAGATATTTTTTCACATTTTCTCAGTTTTGAGTTCACTGATTGTAGAATTGAAACTGGACTTCAAGAATATTATTGAAGAACATCCCAGGTTCTACATACAATTTTTCATGGCAAAATTTGATGCCATTTTTGAGATAAATGTCATGTGCTTCTGAAAATGTGGAACTTTGAGCTAAATTTCACAGAAAACTTTTGAGGTTTTTGAAAAACCTCATGAGAAATTATTTGATTCACTTGTATTCACAAATGCAAAATTGCCTCAAATGTAAATATTAATAGCAGAGGAGATGTTTCAAAAAAATTAAATTTGTGTAGTTGTAGAAAAATCAAAAGAATACATGTAAAATCCATTATAGTATTTATAAGTTACATGTGTACATAAAATGGCATTTAGGACTCCCCTTATTCAGTGTGTTAGCACTATCTGTACAAAATGTTTAAAGAAAAATTTGGAGCCATTTTTGAAGAAATGTTTTTAATAATGCCCATATTTCAATCAAAATAACATGGAAACTACTAATATTTTTATAAAATATACAAGATATCAATTAAAAGTTGATGGTCACTGAATGTGAAGAAAGGCCTCTATCTTTAATAATGTAGTTGTATGAAGAAGTTCAAAAAATTCCAAACCTTTGCAATTTTTGAAAATCCAGAGTTAACGGTGATAAATGGTCCTGTGGCATCTTTATTTATGTGTTTCACTCTATTGTGTCAATAAATTTAAAGAAGAAATTTGTGACCATTTTTTAATGAAAATTTTGAAATTGTCCTACAGGCTTCACGTACCTCCAAAATTCAAAGAATTCTTTTCAAAATTTGCAGGACTCTAAGTTGGGCCGGATCATTCAAAGAATATTCATTTTGACAAAAATTTTATAGATAGTTTAAGTGCTAGTGTTGTTCAAAGTAAGATGTTTTAAAATAAAACACTTTTTTTATTAGAGAACTCTAACCTATATTTCCTTTAAAATCTCAAAATCGATTTTCCACAGCATTACATAATTGTCTCTTTACTATATGTATTACTCCAATTGTGTATGAGAAACTGAAAAGGACTGGTTGAAAAATTTATGGGCAAAATCTTCTGAAGGAAATAATTACAACTGGACAAACGTGTGCAACATGCATTTGCATGATTGGACAAAAACAAAAAGTTAACCTGTTAACCTTTAGATTCTACCAATCAAATTCTGGACAGCCCCTGCACCAAATAATAGTAATTTTGATTAGTTGTTTCCCTGAAATGTTTTTTAACATCATTAGGCTTTTTAAAGTTTAACTTGTCATTATCTCTATTCAAATTGTAATAATTGTGGAATAGTATTATTAAAGTTCATAAAATAACAAATTAATTTTAGGAACTGGATCCTGAAGAAGAGAAACCTCCTTCTCGTGTTATGCAGCTGCGCCAACTAAATACGGAGAAGAAGGTAGCTCTTCTCAACCGAATAACTAATCAACATGCACAACATCATCATGCTCACGTTCATACTCATCGCAAAAGGTCATCAGCTGAGCGTGATGCTTTGGCACAAAGTACTAGTCCTGGTGAACGTCATCATCATGATTTTCTTCGCAGAAGGCCCAATAAACGACGAAGTATGGAGCGAGATAAGGTGATTAAATTTTGTTTTACAAAACTTACATACATTTTTTTTTGTATCATATTGTGTCAACTATAAAGTACCAAATATGAAAATAACTATTTTTCAGGAAAATCATTCACTAGCTTACCATTGTCTCAGGCATTATATTCAGTACTTTTGAATTGTGATTTAAGGCTTTGTAAAAGAAAACTCCCATTTGCTCTGATGTCATTGTGCAAATCGCCTCTGAAACCAACACCAAATGACAAAAAAGAAAAACTTATTTGTTTTTGTGCTGCTTTTGATGCTTTACAATTGACACAACATATTTTTTGATTGAGAATTCATATTGGTTTTAGGTGTAAAGCAGATGTGACGAACTGTCATTGAAAAGTGATTACACACAAAGTAAAAATAATTGCATTTAGTAGAATTGTCATACACTTTCCATACATAACTTTCCTTTAAAATAGTTTTTAGTATGCTAGTTAAGCATTGTTTTGAAGACTCGCTACTTTTTGCACAGTGATGTTTATCGTAAATTTACTTCATCTGACCTTTGTGCATGAAGTGAATCTGTATTACATGCTTTAGGAAGAAAGTCAGAGGCGATCTGAAGAACTCAGTCGCCTACGCATGGAAAGAATAATACGTAGGCAGTATCTACGTCATCTGCAAACCAGGCAGTTTGAAAAGAGCATGCAGATGTTGCAAATCAATGCCAAAGTTGAAAATGAAGAAGAGGAACCATTTGAAGATTTTTCTCTATTTGTCTATCGTTTAACAGCCCCCGACTTCAAAGATAGAGTTAAAGATTTGGAGAAAAAATTGTTCTGTGCTGTAAGATAAATTCTTTGATGTGTCTGAACTTCAGCGTTGCAGTAACAAGTTGCTCTCCATGTTAATTAACTATTGTTTTCCATTTGTGAATTTAATGCTTCTAATGTTAGCTTTTACCTTCTTTTACATAATAGCATTTCTGAATTGCCTGTTATATTTATAAGTCTAGTTAATGTTTTATTATGAATTTAGAAAGAGAAATTCCTGATAACGGACCTTGCAATTTACCATTGTGTACCTTGTTACCCATGTGACTTTTGTGAAAAGCATTTATCACAATAATAGCATGCCTTCAAAGAACAAACAATAGTGTGAATTTGAGGTATTCTTAAATTATTCACATTGAATGTTGAAATATTTTTTTGGTTTTGTGGCCGGACAACATGTTGGTTTTGGCCTGTTGCTTTCTTGTCTGACTGGAAAATTCATGTCCTGATCTCGTCGCCTTTTGATTATTCTTTACAAATTTGTATTATTCTTAAGAAAAGTATTTATTATTTTCCGTATATTATTATTTGCAATGCATCATTAATTCTTTTTTTTATTTATTTTTTTATCTTCTATTGTTTGTTCTGTACTGTGTTTCATGCTCTTAATAATAAGTGTAGTCATATGATGTTTATAGTTACATGCAGAAGTAATATTATAGTAAAAATACTGAATTTTGCAGGATCGTGATTCAAGGCTTGTTGGAGATACGAAACGCGGGGATAAAGATGAAGATTTCTCGGGCCGAGTCAAAAGTTTAGAAGAGAAACTTCAAGGAAGCAGACCAGGCACAGACAAGAAGCCAAAAGATTTATATCGTGCAATTGGTATGTGATAATAAATGTTCTTCTTGGCTACGATTTCAAATCAATTTTTAAAATAAAAATAATATTGTACAATATAAATATATAAATTATTTTTGTAGAGCAAAGCTAATTTCAGGGGTAGCAAATTATTCCAAATATCTGTTTCTTATAAAGAAGATAACTTGTGAAGTTCCTGTAAATGTTGATATAATCATTCATGCATTTGTGTTTGTGCAAACACTTGTCTTATTTGTATGCAAGAATCATTTTTAAAGTTAGAATGATTTTTGTAATAAAATTTGAATTATTTTAATTGAAAATAAACTCTTGTTATTAGCTTTAAAATAGTGTCCATCCCACTCACCAAAAAATACTCAGTAGCTCCTAAAGGAGCTATGGAGGAGGGATGGACTTGGTGAGTGGGATGGTAGTGTTTTTTGAACATTCATAAGACCTGCATGTCCATATAGTGGATGTAATAGTGAGGAAAGGGGAGGCTGTTAGGGGTAATTTAAAGCAGACAGTGAAATCTCTCAGTTCCTTGTTACTTTCTTGCTATGTAGTAAAGAGAAAGTTACGTGTTTTTGTGTGAAAAATGGTGAGTTTTTGGCAGAAAAACTCATATTAGTGCCCTGGTAAAGAACTAATGGATAAAAGTAGTTGCTGAATTTAGGGGGGGTAATCCTCTATTACTTGGTCTAGCCAGAATCCATGTTTTGTGGGTTCTTGATACTGAAAAGTTGATTGACAGCAAAACGTCCATCTGCCTGTGAACAACGGTAATGGCTAAACTTTTCAGCCAAATTCTCCAAAATTGTTATTCCCTAATCAATCTGGCTGATGTCACAGTCTCTTGAATTTGAAACCGATATTTTAATTTTGGGGGATGGCCATTTGGGACTTATTAGGACCTTTTCTCGCATGGACCTCGGATTCTCTTTTGGACCTCGTCTTTCTACAACTACAATTGTAAGGAATAATTTTTTTCTTAATGAAATTAGTACATCAAAAACCAATCTTGAAATAGGTCATGTTCAGTTTTTCAAAAATATGAGTACTTTCCGTCTAATTTTGTGTAAAAGTACTGGTGAGAAAGTACGTGCTCTTTTAGCACCAGTAGTTAAAGAGTGTTTTCAAGTAAGATTTATTATATATCCTCTTTGGTATTATGGAAGTTTCAATAATATTCTTCTGTCTCTTCTTTTCTCTGGAGTTAACAGCCTAAGGAAGTCTAGTTGAAATCTGAATTCTAGTTGTCATCCTTGGTATCCTTTGTATATATGATTTTAGTCTTTCTCAGAATATGGACACCATAGTTACAGTTGGCATTTGGGATTTTGAGTAACAGTCACCCTAGATATCTTGTTAGCTAGTATCAGTCAGGATGGCCATTCATGGAACAAGTTAGTTTGAGACTATTATTTTCCATAACATTTGTGTGCAGAGGGAGCAGCTAAATTACCAGATTATCTCAATTGCAAGGTCTTTCTGCAGCTCTTGATGAGCTGTCCAAGGGTTTACAGAGATTTTAGTGTCATCTGCAACCCAGTTCCAAGACGGGTATTACTCATTTTCCAGGTGTAGAAAGGTTTAGGTCCATGACTGTAGAAAAGAAATAATTGATGTCCTAGGCCAGAAGCTTGAGGTACACAACTTGAAACGATGGTAGAAGTAGATAAGATATGGCAAATTCAAATTTAGAAAGTTCTATCCAATAAAATTGCTCCTATCATGCTAGAAATTTCTTTTGTATTCCCATCTAGGAGATGTTATTTACTTAATATTTGTTTAGAATCTTATTAAAGATCTTGATATAATTGAAGTAAATTATTTCCATATTCACTCAAACCTCAGGTTTTGTTCAAACATAAAGTAAAGAGAGTAAATCAATTTGGTGAGTTTGAACTGAGTAAGAACAAAACCTTGCTATTTCTGTGGGATTACGTTATTTTTAGTGTTGTTCTAAATTCTCTCGACAATTCTGATTTCTTTACTTTATCAATAACACTGATAATCTTATAGTTCTTTGATTTTTGTACCTCTCCTTTTGAAAATGGGTATGGCATTTTTTCAGATCTTTGGTAGTTTTGTTTGTGTCTAGAAATTGCTTGAAGATCTTGTTTAGTAAGAGGTGGAGAGGAATGAGGAACTTGGACAATTTTTAAAAATATTTCAGAACTTTATCAGAACATGTAGCAGAATCTGCATTGAAATCAAATAAAAGCTTCATGATTTCAGTGTTTGAGAACAAAATATTTTCAAGGTTTTTTGTGCATCTCTTCTCAGCTGATGTTGGTTGATTTGAAATTTCTGTTAAATTCCCTTTTCAAAATATACTGCAGAGCATTCTGTGATTCCATTTGAAACTGTACAAATGGCTTCATTCCTTTGTATTTTACTTGAAGGTTCAATCTTATCTTAATAATTATTTATCTTAATAAAAATGGATAAAATGTTTGGCTGCTGTATTGAACCACATGATCTTCTCAGACGTTCCTACATTTCCATATTCAGAAGTAACCCTAGTTGAAATATCTTTATAATCTGAATAATTCTCTTCTGGTCTAAGACTTCTCATTCCAATTCCAGGCCTTACATTTGACACTTGTTTGCTTTTAGCCTTATGATTCATCCAAGGTTTATACAAGTTTTTCCTCACTTCACTTTTTGGTCAGGTGTTATAGAATTGGCTAAAAGGATTTCATTATATTCCTTATAATTTGTTTGACAGAGTTGTAATTCTGTAAATTTACAGATGATGAAAGATATTTTCTCAGATCCCTCAGTATTTCATTATCATTTACTGCAATGAAATTATGACTCTCAGGAATATCATTGGGAATAGTTCATTTCCATTAAATACCATTTGCAAGTAATAAGGAAGTTATCATTTCTCCAATATTTGGTTTCAGCATTCAAGGAGTGATGAGACATATCACTCTAAAATTGGAGTGGTTTGATTGCCTGTAATCTTGTGGGCTCTTACATGTTCTGGATAAAGTTTGAATCAATATAGTGTTGTAAGGATAGTCTCTCAAGTTTTGAACCCAGATAAGCTCCATGTTTGGTCCAAGGATTGAGGGAAATATTAATGTATTCAAAAATCCAGATGGATTGAAGAAATTTGCTTACCTCTCTAATTCTTCTGAGGAGTGTAATAACATTGTATCAGTCTTGGGCCTATTAACTCCTCCTCGAATGTTTGACATTTTCAATTTTTATCCCAAGCATTTATTCCTGGTTTATTGATACTACCATACACTTATATTTTTCTTTACACTTTTATATACGTGCACTTATTGCTTTCTTACTATATCTTTTTCAGTAAATAATTCAATAATTTGCAAAGTCAATAATTATCACTACTTACCATTATGAAAATAGATTTTCACTTAAGATATGCAGAGTTCCCAAACATCAATGACTGATATCTTCTTAATGACTTCAAGATGCCTGACTATATTAGAGAAGATTTCAGGACTAGTTTGTAGTCAGCAGCACTGGACCCCATGATTATTACAAGCAAACTAGTTTTACTTCAATATGGTTCGATACAGCTATTCAAATAATCACCATTATATTTTGAGTATACTGACTTTTATGTTTTGTCAGGTAAAATAGAAAAAAGTGACTGGAATGTTCAAGTATTGGAGAAGAAAATACAAGAAAATAAGATGGGTAGTTACAAACATCATAATCGGCCTGAATCTGTACCTAAATGGGATAAACAGCAGTTTGATGATAAGGTACTTGAAAAATCATTGCTACTTTCATTTTCATATCTAGATCGTTTTAATGTCAGTATGTGAATTATTCAAATATGTCCATAACAATATTTTTCAGCGCCAAGCAGTGCAGGATAAAATTCAGCGCCGTAGCCCAGCAGCTAACAATAAGTCTGATCGCTATGCTCATATAGATGTTAAATTGCAAGAACTGGAAAAGAAATTGAAAGAAGGAAATGTACGTGATGCTGGACCACGTGGTGCTAACAAAGTATCTGCTATGGCAGAACAGTTCAAGTTAAAAAATCAAGACACAGATGCACCTCCAATACAGAAGTCGGTAGGTATAAACAAAGAATCTATCTTTTTTTTTCTTGATGTGATTCATTAATTTGTATTAAGAGCTTAAATATTATAAAATCTTTTAATTTTTTAAAATGATCTTCCTTTGAAAATTGAGGGATCATTCAAACATTTTTTAATTGTTTTCTATATATATTCAGGTATTGGTATATTATATTTTGAGGTGGTTAGGTGAGGAGGTTACTTAATTCCAGTTTTGTTTATAAATATATAATTACTTTTTTTATACCCTTAAAGACCACTGTTGACTAGGTGAGACTGACTGTTGACAAAGCAAAGGGGACCCCTATCCTCAGAAGTGTTTGAAAGGATATGTAACTCCTTAGAGGGGTTATTGATTAAGTTTTTGCGTTAAATATTGTTGTGTAAATGTTGTCTATTATGTGTCTGCTGTATATCATACAAATATATCATTTGAGATAATCTGTTGCAGAACTCCCGGGCAGCTCTTGTGCTGCCAGCCCAGGGAGGATCTGAAATCTGTCACTTCTGTAATAAAAGAGTGTACCTCATGGAACGTCTTAGTGCGGAGGGCAAGTTCTTTCACCGGGGTTGTTTTCGATGTGAATACTGCGGAACAGGTTTGAGGCAAAGTATGCATCAATGATTTTAAAGCTTCTGAATCAAAGTGTGATTTTTTATTACAAAGTAATATAATATAAGCACCTTCACTGTAAAGAAGGTAGGAACTGTAAATATGTCTCTTATGTCATTGCTTCTTATTTTTTAGACAATTATCTCTTTGATCGAGAGGGAAGACATGGTAGCCGCTTCTATTGTGTCCAACATTTTGGAATGCCAGGTAAACTACGAGCTCGCAGGAAAAGTGAAGAATTGCGCACTGGACCTTTCAAAGAAAATATTCCTACTTCCCAGAAATCTCCTTCAAAAACACCTGAAAAGGTATTAGAATATTTTTAAGAACTTTTTAAATATTATTGTGGTATTCATTGTATTAATACTTTACTCATTGACAAACTTTAAAGTAGAAAAAGAAGAAGAATTGAAAAATTATTTGAAGTTAATTCAGTATATTGAAATCAGGACTTTAATAGTGTTTTATAAAAATTTGTTGGTATAAAATTTGGTACCAAACTCAATGTTTGTTCATTGTGCCTTTTATTTATAGGCAAAATCTCTTTGTGAAACTTTGAGTAAGTTGGATGCTTCACGAGATGCTGTGGATATGCGTGCTACCCCAGAAAGAATTGAGTTTGAAAATCTTGCTGGTGCCACGACTGATGTGGAAGAGGCTCCAAGTGAAATGGATGAAGATGAATGGACTGACAGAAACTTTGGTGCTTCTGCTGCAGAAGGCTCTAGTGATTCAGTCTCAGACATCAGGTAAGTTTTCTCTGTTTAAAGTCTTAGATTAGTTGTGCTGTACATATTTTTGAAAATCCTTTGTTCAATCGTTAGTAAGGACATGGGTTGGATAAAACACAATAAGATATTCAAAGCACTTTCTTGACATCAAAATTCCCTCACAGTTTTCTTTCACTTGTTTGCGAGTGGCTTTGTTACAACTGCTGTGAATTAAGTTTGTAATATTTCAGTTTGTAAAGGTCAAAAATACAGTACAAAGGGGCTCTGTTTTTAAAGTTTATTTATTTTCTGCTTAATTGTATTGTATTTTCTGTTTTACATCTTTGTGCCTTACAGATCCCTCTACCCCTCACCCCACCTCCAACTAAGACTGTTTTTTCTAGGCATTACCCATCAGTTTCCTCATCCATCATGCTGAGATGACTCATGATGACACATACATCTCTTCCTTGCAATTAACCTGTTAATATCAGAATTTTGCACATTTTTTCTCAAGGAATTAGCTTCCTTCAGACCCATTGTAAACTAAAAATCATCTAAGCAGCTTCCCATATTTAATATCGCAAATGATTTATTGAATTTCGTGCTCCTATGTTCTTAATTCCCAAATTGAGCAGTATTTTTATTCAGGCCGTTAGAAGTACTGGACAATCAGTGCCAAGGATGTTTTTTGTCATTTTAACCATGTGATTGGCTACAAGCAACCAACAAAAGAAGGAACCAGACTTTACAGGGATGCTATAAGTTACCAAGAACGCAGCGATGTGTTGTGAACAGTATGATGAATTAATTACCTTGGAAGCTACATTATCAAGCGCTTTCATGAAATAATTATTCTGTTTGGCTACAATGAAAGCACATCCTAGTAAAATTACATAAGTAGAATCAACAAACAATATCTGTATCTATGTTTGACCAGAAAGTTGAGATATTTGAAGGTTTTAGAAACCGTTAGTGTAGTGTATTAAATAATGATAATTTTAAAGTTGTAAACTGTTTATTCACATACTTTCAATTATATTGTATTTATTTTTAAAGACATCATTGAGGATGATCATGTGAATTACAAAATTCTGAGAGTTCACTGCTCATAAAATAAATTAATGAAAATATTAATGTGAAATTGTTCTTATTAGCTTGTGTTATTTTTCATATAGTTTTCTCTGTATTATGTTGTTGGTGGTTTTCAACGTCAATTTTATTTTTGTGTTTTGATTTTTCTTGGTCTTGCCTGGTGTATATTTCAGTGCATATTGGTTTTGAACAGATGGAATTCCCTTGTGCAAGTTATTTATACAGGATTTTACTGGTGAAAATGGCAATGTCTTATCTGTTAATAAAGGAAGTCAGTCAAAACAAATAAGTTATCAGTTCCTCATTGTTTCTGAAATAGCATAATAGATTTATGTTGTTTGGTGTCAACCACCTGCTTCAAACTGACAATATTTCACTTGACAGCAAAGGTCAAAAGAAGCAGATACATTCACTTGTTCGACTCCATGTTTCTGAAATACAGCACACTAATCTTAAGTAATGTGGACCAGATGTTGAGTAATCTTGTCATTAAAAACAATGATAAGTAACTTTTCTTACTTTTCCTGACTTTTTCTCTTATGAAATTGATTATTGATGTTTCCATCTGGGACATTCTGTATGTAATATTTAATACTAGCAATAAGTTTGTACTGGTTTCATTGTGCTTGTCACTTTTTGACTTTGATTTGATGATTAAAGTCTTCTGTTTTATTGAAAACTTCTCATCATTATAAAGTAATTAAATTCACCAAGTATATTTTTATGAGTAGAGTCCGGATGTTCAGGAAATTATTTTATCTAAAATAGGCAGGCAGAAAGGAATATATTTTTAATAAAGTAAACAAGCAAGCTGGCTTCCAGCTAAAGAAGGATGGGAAAGGTTCTGTAAAGAATAAAAAATCACATTTAGGAGGAAGTAAAAGTCATAAAAATATAACAGTAACAAAAAGGCATTTTACCAGACTTTCCAGTTCTAATTTTAAAAAAAGATGATGTCAAATTGATATGTGATCTCTCTATACTTTTTTTTCTTTTTTGTTTCATCCAGTGATTCAGATGATGATATGCCTAATGAAGTATTTGAGGAAGCTATTCAGCAACCACTAACTGCTGATGAGACACTCAGATTGGCTGAGAGTTGGCAACGGCGATATTCAAAAACACCTTCCAAAGACTTACAAAATGGTGAAAGTTGCAATGCAGAAGGTAAAAAAGACATCCCTGCTGCTGCTACTACTACTAGAGAACATGAAGCAGACACTGGTGAATCAAAATTGACTTCAAAACCAGCAAAAAATATAACAAAAACTGCCAATAATGATGATGAGGAAGATAGTGAAAGTTATGAGTATGATGAGAGTGATGGAGAGTTGAGTTATCGTGAATACGAAAGTGATGGTAAGTAATCTGCTTAAGTTGAAATGTGTTGTTGTTTGTTTTTGTTTTTTTCTGGTGTGGTATGTTTCTAAAATGAGAGAGGTGGAATCTGCAGGCGATGGAAGTGACACTGCAACGGAAGGGGAAGAACAGAATGATGCAGACGCTAAGGCTCGTGAGTTGCGGCGCCAGGAAGTACAACTTCAAGTCCCCCAGCGCCCTCCCAGAAGTCGCCATGATTCGGACACCAACACTGGTTCAGAGACTGAGGTGAAAAATCGATTGCAACTCTCCGTTACATCTGATCCACAAACTTCTAAACTGATTCCCTCAGAGCTTCTGAAAAGCAAAAACCAAAAGGCTAAATTAAAACTCCATAGCAAAGACAAAAACTGTAGTCTTCAATAATTTGTTGTAGCAGTAGTTCACTGCTGGTTCTTTGTAGCATTTAAAACAATTTGAATCTTAACATTATTGGCTAATGATAATTTTCAGCAATATCCATTGGTTTCTGTATGTATGTTAATTCTGTAAGGAAATGTGCCTAAAGCTAGGTTAGATTCTTTCTGTATTTTTCTCTGTGTTCTCTTGATCTTCAATTATGTAAATTCATCTTAAGTTTTGTAATCTTTGATAAGGACTCATATGATCAGAATCATGTTAATTTTGTAATGGCCATGCATAAATTTTGTAATAGCCATGCATAAATTATTTTCTTGATTAATATTTGAAGATTCACAGTGTTTACATTACATATTATAAATGTTTCTGTGAATTTTCAACATTTTGCAACTAGTCAGAAAGTTTATTTCATGGTAACAAACTTGTGAGGGTTTCTTTTTCATTGTTGGCTTTGTGGTGGTGTTGATGGTGGAGGCATTGAATGAATTGAAAAACCAGCATTAAGTTGAAGAGGATTGTTTAGTATATTAATTGAATGGATTATACTTCACAGGTAATTATAAATTGTATTTGGATGTCAGAACATGGCTTTTTAATGTTTTGTTTTGTTTGATTCTGTGTAATTAACCTTGAATTTTATGCTAACAGAATTATTTATGTGCCCTCACACCACCACTGGCTAACAGGAAAAAGACAGCAAGCTAACAATGATTTTTGTTACAGTACTCAGTTTTTAAAATTTTGCAAGTACATTGCATATGTGTGCTAGTCCTATTATATTGTCACTAATTTACATCAGTTATAGATTTAATGACATGTTATGGAGAAGATATTTGGCTTTTAGGTGGAATGTTCATCGCACAATCATATATATCTTTTCACCTATAAATCCATTCAAAGTTTATGCTTGATTATTTTCCCGTTTTCCACAAAAAGTAACTTACTAATGCACTTAATACTAGCCATAGACGTTATCTTTATGCTGACATGTTCTATCGGTGTGGATGAGACATTTTGTTTCACATTCTCCCCAATCAAATGGTGTGCGATCTTTTCTATTGCCCAAGAACTTAAATTTCCTGAGTTAAATGTATCTTCTTGGCATGAACCATTTAATCCTAGTTTGGTGTATCACTGCCCCAATAACCAAAATTTGTTTATCATTATCCCTTTCCACAGGTTGCAAGTGATTATTCAACTGACACTGACAGTGAAGAAGAAGAGGAAGAGGAAGAAGAAGAGGAGATAGAAAACTCTGCTACTGAAATTTCAACAGATTCAGAGTTTGAACATGATGGCACTACTCCCACACAGCACAACATTCCTTCAATTCTTATTGATAATCCAGCATTGTTTCGTCGCAGCTTACCAGAAGAACCAAAGAAAGTGCAAGTTCGGTCAGGTCATATTAATGGTACCGTAAAACCACAAACTCCAGCAATTCAAAATGCAAAGAATGCCAGAACAGATGGGGTTAGGTTAGAAATATCTCCACTGCGGCCCGAAACCGAATCTAAGTCTTCTAGTCTCACTAATCTAGCATCAGGGAACAACATTCTAAATACTAAAAATAATAATAATCTTGCTTCTTCCAAACTGGCAGCTCCTACTCCTCTCATAAATCCTCATAAAGGGGATTATTTCCTGAATAGAACTCAATCTACTGAAGGAATTGCATCAAAACTCTCCCTTCAACTTAAAAAGAAATACCTACTTGGAGCTTCTGATGTAGGTGGGTCAGTGAAAAAGTCAGGTTCCTCTTCAACTTTAGATTCAAAAGTTAAAAATTTTGTTGATGTTATTTCAGAACACCAGAAAAAATTAAACCCTGCCCCAGAACCAAGCCCAACAATGCAAGCCTTTTTGCAAGGAACTTCTAATCTCAGAGTAAACACAATTCCTAACAATCCATTGTCACCACCATCTCCTACCCTTTTGAATGCTCCATTAAAACTTCCCCCATCACCCTCGCAGACTTCTGCTTCACCACGGACACAAAAAGAAATACCTCAATTAAATGAAGGGTTTGAGCATATTTGCGGATTAGGAAAGAAGGATGAAAATGCAGAATCTTTAAGTAGTTTGAGTAAAAAAGATGAATTTGAACATGTGTGTAGTTTAGGTAAGAAACAGGAAAATGCTTTACCTGCAACTAGTTTAAGTAAAAAGGAAGAAGGTTTTGAACATATTTGTGGTTTAGGTAAGACTAACGAAGATACTTCTGCCAAAAAAGAATCTTCTCCTGAAACATCTTGTAAAATTCCAGAGACAGTCAAAAGTGAGTCGCCTGTGAATGGATTGAGTAGTGATGTGCATCAAGAGAATGTGTTGACCACAGAACAGTATGTTAAATTGGAAGAAAGTAGTGATATTTCATCTCATGAAAAATTGGTAGATAAAACTGATGCTCAAAAAATGAATAATGTTATAAATGATCAAGAAAGCTATAATAATTTAGACTGTCGTCCACGTAGTCCTGCTCACGAAACATCAATAGTAGTTCCTGATATTTCCTGGAATACAGGTCACAAAACTGAAGACATAGAAACGGATTCTCTGTCATCTTGTGGAAGTGGTAGTGATGTAGAAGAGGAAGGGGATAGTGATGATCACAGATCAAGGTCTCCATCACCAGTTCTCAAGAGAGAGATGACTCCACCCAGAGTTGAAATACATAATTCTAGTGGTGAACTCATGGAAGACGAATATGGCCATGAAGGAGACAAACCCCAGGAGAACAGTAACAAAGATGATCACAATATAGAGGAAGATACAACTGTACAACGAGTATTTTCAGATGCAGTGGGATCATCGGAGGATGTTAATCTGAGGAACAAAAAACGAGTTGAGCCATTAGTATTTGAGAACAAGCGTGCTTCTCTCACAAGCGACAGAAGCAGTCCGTCAACTCCACCTTCAGCAAGGGGGGATGAATCAGAATCGTTTCACCATGAAGGAACTCTGGCAGCTTTGACTGAGACTGAGCTATCTGATTGGGCACAAGATGGTGATGCTGTGGTGTCAGAAGACTTGGAAGATGTGGAATTCAACATCAATCCTGAGTTTGTCACTATTAGACGCCATCGTAAAACGAAGACGAACAGAAATGCTATTCGTGGGAATAGCGCTAGTGCATTTGCCAAAATAGCTAGAGGTGAAGATTTTGGTGACTTTGATGAAGATCCAGGTCATGTATGTGGTAAAGAAAGATCTGGTAGTCAAACTGAGAGCAATAAAGCTCCATCCAGTATTCTTTCAAACATTGATAACATTGAATTTATGGATACTGGCGGTGAAGAAGAGGATGAAGACTGTAGTGATACAGGTGACACCGAAGAGCTTTTGGATGCAAGAAACAAAGTATTATTAAGGAACAATGGTTATGTTCAGTTTGTTGATACAGAAGATGATATGGCTACTCCTGTTGCTGAAAGTCCCAGGCAAATTGTTCCTGCTCCTGTTCTCCCTACTTTTATTGTGAGTGAATGTGAGGAGAGATCTGGTGAACATTGTGATAGTCCTGAAATATTTGAGGCTGTGAACAAAGAACTTGTTACTGCATCTGCTGGTGAAGAGGAGGAGAGCTCTCTTCAACCTGAAGGAACTACTACTGAAGAAACGACCACCACAAGTGAATTAGCTACTGTGAAAGATAATCTCAACGCAGATGATAGTGATGTATTCTTCACTCCCAAGCAGGAATTATCAAACAATGAAGGAAGATCACCAGTTTCTCCTAATGATGATCTGAGAGGTCAAGAATATGATGAATATGTGAAGAGACTTCAAGGACGAATATCACCATTTCATAATGTCAGAGATTCTATAGATGTTCGTAAGTCACGCCGTAAGATTGGAAATGGGAAGGTTAATGAACACATTAAACCTCAAGAATGTATTTCAGAAGAAAGTACCTCTGATCATGGTGCTGGAGAAAAAATTGTTCCTTCTTTATCAAGTCCTATTAACATTTACAATTCACCTAGCACATCTCGTAAGTTAGAAGAAATATCTAGAGAAAGGTCAAAACAGAAGGATTTAATACACGAGATGGTCCTAGCTAAACACCTCTCCCAGAGAAAATCATCTCAAGAACGGAGGCAAAGAAAGTCTAGCAAAGGACTACAAACTCCTCCATCTAGTATATCTAGTAGCCAATTCAGTTCAAATGATACCTTTCAGACTCCCCTTTCAAATTCATCAGAAGTGCCTGCCTCTCCAAAAGAATCTGTTATCACTTTGGAGACACCATCTTTAGCCCTTCCAGTTGTTGAAACAGAAGTTATTGATAGCAATCGTAGTATTCACCAAGATTTGGAAGTGCCTTTTGTTGATGATTCAGTCTTGGTCACTGAAGAAACTGAACAGTTTTTTACTCCCTTAACATCATTTAAAAAAGAACCTCATCACAAACCTCGCCCCGTTTCCGTTCATTCTTCATTTAGAGCAGAACAAAAGCCTATAAAATATGTTAACAGATATTCATTTTTACCTGACACTCCATTAACTAATCCTGAAGCATTTTCTCTTCCTGATATTAGAAAAGCTTTGTTTAAGACACCAGATGAACCTTTCAGTCCACCTGTAGCTCCCCCACGCAGCCGTCACGATAGAACTGCTGGTCAAGAGCAAGACAGGGAGGAACTTGGAGAAAGAACATGTATGAAAAGCAGTGAAGAGTTGGGCTTCAGCCCAGATGATTACATCACCACATTGAAAAAGAAGAGCCGAAGGCCTGGATTGGAAAGGAGCTTGTCACAACCTGAAGAAGCTGCTACTGCTAGAGCTAGATTGCATGAAAGAGTGGATCACATTCTTCAACCAGATGCAAGTTCTTCAATGACAGGCAGCTCCTTTCAAAACGTGCAGACTTCTCTCACAAGCACTGCTAGTCCTACAAGTAGCATTGCTTCACCTTTAAGCACACCTCACTCTAAGGTACAGCATGTGCACATCTCAGACTTTTCTATTGCTTTCATTAAATTTTGAACCATTTAAAAAAAATGTATTTAATGGAATGAAACTTGCTTACAATTGCTTTGTCTTTATCTAGACTACTTTCTACTTGGATGCAAACCACAGTTCCCCAACATCTGGAGAAACTAGTTTGAATAGTACCAAAGAACAGAAGAAATCGAAAGATCCAGAACGCCGAAAGAGTATTATACAAGCTGTATCAGACTTTTTTCATAAAAAGAAGGATGCTTCAGCTACACCATCACCTCCCAAAACTCCAACTACTAGTGGATCTGCAGGAGGAAGCAGCAAAGACAAGTTCAGATTTAAATTTTCCAGGTTAAAGGATAAGAGCAGGGTAAGAAAATCGTACTATATTTGTAATCTCTATGAAAATATTATTCATGTAGTAGTCTTAAATTACATTTTAAATATCATTAAAATAATTTGATCAAACTAAGACCACCAATTTTAAATACTTTAATGATTAATTATGAAATCATTTGTGAATGTTTGCTTTCCATGTGATAAGAAGTTATCTGTGGACATCTGTTCAAACTACTAGGTTTATATCCTATAGTCAGAGGCTTTCGATGGATGCCATGTACATTGCTTAATGCCAGCTATTCTTGTATGCAGATTAGCTTTGGTGGACTTGTATGAGGGCAGGAGACATACAAGGAATGTGGAGAAATGGAAAAACAAATACAAATAACATACTTTATGTCTATTTGTATGGTGTGAACTGTGTACAAAGAACTTTCATATATTTGGTAGATCCAATACTTCTGTAAATTTTAGGCTTTCGTAGATTGTTACATCTTCAGAGGGAGTTGCTTTATGAATGCAATTGTGATACACTTCCTTGGCAAATTGAAAATTTGAAATCTGAAAAATTTTCCAAATAGAAATTATGGGAAAGTAATGTGTTGCATCTTTGTAGTTTGTAAAAATTGATGCAGTGTTTTTTTTATATCTTTGCTGGTTTGTTAATTTAAGAAGCTTTTACCAAAATCGCAAGAGTTCTTTTCCGTTTCTTCTAATTTTTAGCCTTTTTATTGAAAATAATTTCCCTTAATATATTCCAATAAGAGGAAAGTAATCTACAAATTAGAATTTGCCTTAGAAGTGTGCACTGTGCCATGGGATTAGATGTATGTATCTTCAAGAATCTGTACTAATTAGCTGTTTTGCCTAAATTTTTTCAGTCGGCCTATAGCTCATATTCGGATGACTCAGATGTAAGCATAAACGCTTTTATAATGAGTGCTTGCACTGTGTGTTTTTGGTACTATTTTCTCTCTCTGCATGTGTTTTTAATTTATTTATTCTAATTTTTATGTAATCCCTGAAACACATGTACAACTTTTCACTTTGGCTGAGGTGTATCTCTTCCTTGTATTTTGAAAACAATTTCCAGACAAAATTAATTTATTTCACTTCATTTTTCCGTGATGGTATTTATGTATGAACTTCCTATGTAATTGAGAAAGCACTTTTTCAGTTGGTTCTTAAATATGTTTTCTTGTTAATTTTGTATGTTTCTTTCATTGGCTACTTTGTGTAATTATTTTTGGGTTTTCAACTCTTCTAAATTTCAAACATCTAAACCTGTAAATTATTTTTTTATAAACATTCTTAATGATTTCATTTTGATGTAGGCTTACACAATATTTTTCTCTTTTTGTGTGTGTTCTGCCATTTAACAAATTATTTTTTAATTAACTGTGAAATAAACCTTAAAAGATATATATTAATTAAACTAATAACTGTTTGAAGATTAATTTAGTGGAATTGTGAGTTTGAATAAAAATAATGAATTATAATTTTTATTGCTGAATTAAGTCCATATTTTTATTTTAAAAACATCGAAAATATTATTTATAAAAATATTTTATGATTGTCGAATTTTTTTAAATGTATTTTTTTGTTTTCTTCTACTGGAATTTTGAGGCATGTGCCCAGTGCAAATTACACGTACGTTCATGAGAGCGTTCATGTCAAAATTCAAAAAACAACATTGCAAGTTTATGTTTTTCCTCAAAGGACTCTGGGGCTAAGGCAAATGGTGGTGTTCGTTCTAAGAGTGAGACACATCCACCTCCAATCCCACCTTTGCCTGTGAACTACACTCCAAGTGGCCCAAGTGGTTCAGGAAGGCATCAAGGATCAATTCCTCGCACATCAGGTAAAAATGTGGTATTATTGCCAGCACAATTTTTGGAGCTTAGAAACACTAGTTGGGTCTTGTGACACTTTTGAAGCTGAACGGTTTTGTAATTTAAAATGAAATAATTTTGCTATGCATTTCTCCATTCGTGCATGTATTTCTTTTTTTTTCCCCTTGTTTTCATTTAAAAATGAGTTTGTTTCCTGCACTATAGTACAATTTAGCTTTATAATCGATTTCACACGTTGCAGAAATGAATGTTAGAGAGGTTTTATGATAAAATCGTGAAGGTTATTTTGAACTTGCTGAAGTGTGGTTATGGATTCAGCACACATGGGAAACTTTTGGATGTTTACTCATATTTATTATCAATACTTCTCTAAGAAATAATGAGCTTACATTTTTAAGTACATACACTTTTTTGTAAAGACTTAGTTTTGATTTTAATCTTCTTAATATAAAACCTGCATGAACAAAAATAAGAAAATATATCTTACCTTTTGGTCAAATCAGGTTTGTAGTAGGTGCATGTGCATTCTTAATTCTTGGTTTATTATGTGCTTGTAACTTCACTTGCTTAATCCACAATATGTGTAAGTGCTGCAGTGCAAATTGTTTGTCACATTCAGCAGAAGATAGCTTTTCTGAACCCGATGATGATTCGAGAGCTACTGCTGTATCCACTCCAACTCATGATTCAATATCATCTACTGGCAGTTTGAATCGAAGACAGTCTCGCATGCATCGTCGAATGGCAAGACAAGCTCAACTGAAACGGTGAGTGGCTTCATTACAAAGGTACTTATAAGAGACCTTTTGTGTACATTGAAAAATAAGGTACTGAAGGTGTACCCTTTGAAAAGAAGAATCACACTTATTGCAACCTCTTCAAAACATTTCATTTTATCAATCAATTTTTCAGTGAAAATGAGTGTTTTATGAAAATGAACATAAATTTAACAACTACATCACCATATACCATGAGTTGAAATAATTATTTTATACAATAATTTCTGTTTTCACCACACAGTCTAAATATGCAAAAGAATCTGTGGTGAATTTTCAATTTTTCTTGGTTTTATCGTAGATTATTTTTTTTCGCTGTATGGTATTATTATTTTTAGTATCTTTCTTGAAAATTTATTACAAGACAATTTATTTTTATTACAAGAACATTCTTAATTAAAAACAATGAATCAAAATTTTCTTTTCACATATTCACATTGAAATTATTTTTCAAATGCAATATGGACTTTTTAGAAGAGAACATTTCAATTCTGTTCTCATCTTACTTACACATATATCTCAATAATGAGTTTAGCAATAATGATTCAAGCATTTTTTTCCCCTTAGGTTAATGAAAGTTTTCTTTCCGAGGACTTACTGATACGTTTTTTACTCCTGTTGCTTTTTATTTTCCATTTGTCCTTGACCTTCGGCACCATTTTAGTACTTGTGAGTAACCGGATTAGAGCATTGTAAGCTAATGCCCAATGGTTTTTCCAGGTTGCGCATGGCTCAGGAAATTCAGAGACAGTTAGAAGAAGTAGAAGTAAAACAACGTGAATTGGAGCAACGAGGTGTGAAGGTTGAAAAGGCTTTACGAGGCGAAGGTATAGGTTAGTGTATAAGAAAAAAGAATGAGAGTGTAAGCAATTGTGATGAATTTTCTTCACCTAGTATCAATTTTTTTAGATGAGGATGAAGCTGGTGCCGTGGATGAGGCTGAGTTGCTTAGGGAATGGTTTGAATTGGTTCGAGAGCGAAGTGAGTTACGTCGTTATGAACACGAGTTGGTGGTGAGAGCTGAAGAACTGCAATTAGAAGATCGTCATGCACGACTGCAGCAGGAACTGCGAGATCGCTTGGCAAATGATGGTTGGTATAATTTATTGTGCTGTCGTGAACTTTGATGACTTGCTTTTTAAGAATCTTTTCCATGAATTGGCGTTAAACTGTTCAAAGAATAATAAAATGCAAAGAATTTGTAGTAGAACAGAAATTAGATAGGAATAAACCAATTTCCTGCTCCCACCAGAATGTTGTTTAAGTTCCATTCCTTGCCAATTATAAATTCTGTTGGACTTTAAGGAATTTCATACTTCTGAAAAGAAAATGCAAAATAATTGCTCTTTTCTAACATTTTTTTGTGAAAGATTAATTTACTAATGTCATTACAGTATAAATGAAAAGAATTATGATTGTGAGATTATATTGTCAGTGAGTGTACTTCATTTTGCTGCAAGCTTCATTAATTTAAATATAATTTGCTCTTTCTCTCTCATTCTTGATATATTTTGGAAAGGATAATGTTTTGCATGGTTCTCCAATGTGATGGGTTCACCATTCTGTCATCAATTTATAAGTATTGGTAATTAGGGAGCAGTCTTGGGAAATGTGGTGCACATCTTTGTACATTGGTGACATATGCTAGGGGTGAGCACAATTTTTTCACAATAGTTGCACCTGTAAATATGGAGTGCTGCACACACAAATGAAAGATAACTACTGATCTTAATTCTTTACTAATTATCAAGAACTATTCTACTAAGATTGATTTAAAATTTTGAAATATTTTTGGGGTTAAATGAAAGAGTATTTAGAGAGGAATTGGCATGATAATTTTATTAGAGTTAGAAAATTTATTTCTATTTCTATTGTTTTGATGCTCTCTCCATATCATGGCTGTGGTGACCTGTGTATGTTGCATGACAGACTCGAACAAGACGAGTGAGGATGTGGCGAAAGAAGGGCAGATCCTAGGGGAGATGCTGGAGATCGTGGAACGCCGTGACTCTCTCATTGCGTTGCTGGAAGAGGACCGCCAAAGGTGTGCGTCTGTTCCTGCACGTCTGCCCTGCCCTCGTGCAGCTCGAGTCAGCAGTCTAGCCACTGACTCCTCTGACACATTATCTGTAGTGTTGCTAATTGTTGCTGTGGTGCTCGCGTGGATTCTGTCCTGCGTTGTAGTTGGCTCACTTCTTCCATTTCCCTTGGTGGTCGGATATGTTGCATGATAGCATTAAAATTTCACTGAATGTTTATTCATTGCCCTGGTACTAAAATGTATTTCTAAATATCTCTTGCTTGGAATTGTCTTGGCTCTGTTTATTTGATGATTAGTGAGAATATTGTGGTTTTTATTCCAGAAAGGAAATGAGTAATGTACCTAGCTGACAAAGGGACATGGCTTTCTAGGCTTAATGAAAGTACCTTTTTAATGAAAATTTAAACCTTTCTCACGGATTACGTGGCCAAAAAATGCTGCTAATACTGCATTCAATTAGAGTCAAGGCTTAATTCAAATTCCTTGCCTGAATGGCTCCTAAGAGCTCCTCCTTCATCTACAGTGGGTTATCTTAATTGTGAATTGAATTAGTAAACTCACTTAACAGAAACAAAATTATACTTTGAATAAAAATATGAATCAGGACATTGTCCTTTCATTCTTATTTATAGTAATGAAATATATTCATAATTATTTTTGTATGCATCAAGACGTAGGACAGTTTAATTTATATGTTTTTGCTTGCATGTATTAGTTTTGTTGCCGTAAGTTCTATTGATTTCTTTAGTTGCTTTTACTGATTTTTGTAATGTAATATATTAATATAACTTGCTTTCTACATCCTATATCCTGTTTAAATGAGTTCATGATTTGTTTTCTCTATATTGTTTCCTTTTTCTCTTTCCTGGTATTGATATTCAGTAGCTAATTTAAAATTTTATTCATTGGGTGTTGTTCATGAAAATAATGTTTATATTTAATGAAATGAACTTTCTTAAAGTGAAACTTCTTTGCATTTTGCACTTTTACATTGGAATGTTAAACCATAATCAGTTTTATGTAAATCAGGTTACTTGCAGTGAAAACTCATGCTTAATCTGCTACAGAGCAGTAATTAATTAAATTCGGGTAGCTTCTCTCTTGCTGCTGCTATTCTTGGTCTACAATAAAAATCAAGAGTTCCCTCATAGACCAGAACCTGGAACTTTGTGTGCTGTAAGCTAACATGCTTGGGACTTCATTCTTGACTGAGAGTGAAAAGGTTTCTTTGAATGAAGTCCTTATTGAAAATTCTTGCAATATAAATTATAAACAGCTTCAGGTATGTGATTTTAATCTGAAATATGTTCACTGAATTTCAAAAATTTGTGATGTTACGATACCTGCAAATAAATTACCATTCTGCTACCAGTTCAACTTCTAAGACTTAAATAAAACTTCTGTTCAATACATTTAAAACAATCTTTATAAATTGTAATGTTTTATGAATTTAACTAAAGATGTTACACTCCAATGGCATGTAGGAATCTCATGAAATCCCCTCAAGTTGTGGGCGTCTCTCTCAATGCCTTCATCATCCTTCCTTTCCATTGCAGTGACAGCAGCACTAGAGGGAGATGAACACAAACGCTTGCCAAAAGGCATACTAAAACGAGATAAGGGGGGGGAGGGGGTACTAGATTTCTGGGCCCCCTTTTCCAATGAACATTTTTATTTAAAAATTCCTTATTTTACCTGTCAATAAATAAAACATAAAACAAGGAGAACGAAATAACTTAAATAATACAATTAATAAATTCAATTTGGTGTTTTATGTTGAACCATTTACAGGGTTGCCAAATGGTTTGGGGATCCCCTACCCCAAATGTCATGTATCGATTCCTAAGATTCTCAGCTTAAAAACAAGAAAATCAGAAACTGATCATATTTATAAAAATACAAAATTTTCTACTGTAGGTCTACAGGGTCCCTTTCAAAGTTATAATCTTCTTTGTATAAAATGATGCTACATACTGTCATGTAGATAAGTCCTGTGTCCCAATATATTTTGCATCCTATATTATGTAAGCAGTTGCATGACCATTTTTTATACTGTACACTAAGTAGATTTGAGCTATAATTCTTGTGATGCCTTTTCACCCTCCTAAAATTTTGTGCATGCAGCCAGCTCATTGGATTGATATGTAAGTTTGGGCCTGTACTACCTGTACTATGGTTTCTGCTTTTATTCCAACCAAATAAGAATAAATATCCCTTGTAGTCATATTCTTTATCTTCTTAATATTCTTCCTTATGTTGTGTTTCAGATTGATTGTAGCTTTGAACTGGTTGAACTAATAAAGTATTGACATGTAAAGAAACTCACTTGACAGTAAATTGTGATGTAAATCTTTTCCACATAATGCATTGAACATAATTATTTGCTTAATCTTTGTATATCTTTTCTCTCTTCATATTTCATTCCTGATTGTTCTGTTACTGATTGATAACTAACCATTATCCAACTTGACATTTTTCTGATTTAATATTTCTTTAAATAAAAGTTCAATTAGAGCTTGATATTAACATATATTATAATAAATTAATATATTGGAAAGCAATTGGAATGCTTAGAATATAAAAGTATATTTGGAATATTTTTATTATTGTGTAATGAATAATACGTTATATTACTAACCATGAAGAATTAGAGTGGTGCTTTAATCTTTCTGTATGTTTCATTAGTTTTCAAAAATGAACCTGAGATATATTTGCAGGTGATGTCACAAATTATTATTATTATTTTTATTCAAGAATAATTCTACTATTAAAGTTTTAATGTTATTTAATTGTATAATATAATATACACTTTTTTAATTAATTATAAATTACCACATTAGAAATCCTTTACAAGAGATATCTCAGGACACATTTTTGTCCCTTACTAGTAAGAACTCTTACTAGTAGGAAATGTTGATATAAGATTATTAAGTCTTCACCTAATGTTACCTTTCATTTTTTACTGTTCTTGGCATGAACGATTCAAAATTTTTCAAATATTTACTTTATCATCTACTTTGGAACCTTCAAAATTAGAGTTTTCAAACAAAATTATTTTTATATTCAGATGTCGTCCTCCATGCAAACAAAGCATTTTCACCAACATCACCATAATGTGGAAAAGCTATATAACATGATGCATTACGGTAATGAGCCTTATACCTTATCACATACTTCAGTTATAATTGTTCCTACTCACTTGAACATGATCAGGGCATTAGCATGACTGAGTTCTTGGTAGAGACATCTCGCCTTGGTGCCTTCCACATAGAAAGTGGGAGCAAATTTTCACCGTTCATAGATGAGCAGGATTATTTTAGGAGGGGCATTTCCAAGGACAAGAATTATTCTTATGTAACCTTTGTCAAGTAAAACCAATGAGTAATCTGGCTGACCACTTGGGAAAATTTGTCATTCCAACTTCTATCACTTGTTTGTGCGTGTGTGTATGGGTGGGTTCTGTAAGAGCAGTATTTCAATCTACACAGGAAATTGTTATTAATTGGTCCCTTACATTTGGGAAGAAAATGCCAATAATTTATACATTGTGACTGGCTGAGTTTAGCTAAGAGGCAGCATTGCTGCTGTCTCTGCACCAACTCTGCCTGGGAGATCCTAGGATTTAAGTCCCGACAATTGCAGATTTTCAATACTAGGGTGATACGTAGGAGAATTTCAGCGATTAGCTGCTGTGATGGAAGTTTTCCGTGGTTTCTCCGATAAGGTGAATGTCGGAGCAGTACCCTAACAAACATGCCATGAACCGCACACAATCTATCCTTCCTCTTCTGTGTCCTATCATCTTCCAATACTGACACACACTTACATGTATCATGTAATTCACTACCACATATTGGGAAACCAGTAGAAAGCTTAGAGCTTATCCTGGCTGGGGCGATGCCCAGTCAGGAGAGGTATCTGGAAGCGGGATCTCGCACCAGGCATAAAATGCATTCGCTCCATTAGCAGCAGTCATCACTAACATCGATCAATGAAATCAAATATACGTTACGAGTAGAGTCGGCTTATAATGTCTCTTGTACAGGATTCTACTGTATTTCTTCTTTTTACCTTCATAAGGTTTCAGGGGTTCCATCTGTCACACTTCTTGAGCTATGAAGAGCTAATTTTGAACGGAATAATGTTGTTAACATGACATTTCAGTGGTAAAAATGGTTTTCCAGTTGCCATTAACCTTTCATATTCAAACATTAACAATTTTCTCGCACTACTTACTGATAAAATGAAAAAAAAAATATCGGTAAAATAACTATTAAACAAAGAATAGAGAGCTTTCCAATTTGATTGAACATGAACTGATGTGCTGACATCTTAATTTGTTACTAACATTCTGGAAATGTGATGTTCTGCATTGCATTTTTCAAGCATGCAATTCATATGATAGCTTTAATTTTATTTTATTTCCAAGAACTAACTAATATTTAACATGGTTTTCATATTTATTAGACATAGTCATTCCTGCTGAACTAATAAAAACAAACATACCTTTTACGAACCTGGAATTCCTAGTTGCCTTAATTTTTAAATTTGTATATTTTTTGTGTATATATTTTCCCCATTGATTAATATTCTGGAAAATACATTTCCGTTGTAGGAAAGATGGCATAATGTTTGAGGAATTTTATGTATGTATTTAATGTGTATATGTGTACAAATTGAAATGTACGATCTCTGTGGGTGTTGCAGTGGTATTGTTTGCAGATTTGGGATTCATTGTATGTATTTATTTTTCATAAATTCTTTAATATGTATGAAAGCTTTTGTAACTATTTTACATTTTATTTGGAAGCCACTACAACTTAGGTCAGTTAATGCACTGAGTAATTTTACATTTGTTGTAACTGCATTATATTTTTAAAGTAATTAAGCACAATTTTGTGTCAGTTTTGCTGGAATGGCTTTGATTAGTGGCATGACTCAATGAGCAACTAGGTACTTGTGTTCTCTAGGTAAGGTTTGTTGATTTGTGCATGGTATTTTATTTGTTTTTAAAAATAGAATGTTGTGTCTTCTCTAACCATGTATGTCATGTATTATTTGAGATAGTCTTTCTTTCATGTTACTAGTGACTTTCTGAATGTATGAGTTATGCTTTAATTACATTTTTATGTCATTTGCATGTAAACCTAGCATTACATATTTTGTTTATAATAAATATAATTCAGAACTTTAAAGAAGTAAGTAATTTAAAGGAACATTAAATGTGTTAAATACACAAAATTAAATTGTGCATTAACAAAGCTTATTAAGACTCACATAATAACAATCTGTATAAAAACATGCCATTTGTAAAATCTCCAGCTCTTTAAAAGATATATTTTGAAAAATTCAAGAAGAGTTTAGTATTTATGTACTGTTCAAATATCATTTTTCATATTTTTAACGTATGTTTCAGGTATCAAGAAGAAGATAGAGACTTTGAAGCGCAAATGCTCGCGAAGGGCTTACGACTTACACCGTTGAGGAAAGAATCAAATGTGTGATTATGTTGTAAGTAATCTGCCAAGTGGATGGAGTTCAAATACTGAAACAAGTGGTAAGCTGTGGAAGTTCCTGCATTTCTTCTCTTTTTGGTGTGTCCTTGAATATTTTGCTGCTTCAGTCATTGCCTTTACACAACTGGGTCCAGGAGGAGGATTCTCTTTGTTAGGAGATCTCAAGACAGCTTTATATGAAGTGAGGAATATCTCACCTGTTATTTTATATTGATGTATGTTGTATCTTTGTATATAGTCAACAAAAACTGTTGTATTTCAATGTGATAATATGTGAATGAATGAACAGATGTTTATACTTCAGTAAAATATTTCAGGTCATGTTTGTGTATGTTACAGGAACATTCTGATCAAAGTGTCTCATTATTCCACTTTATTGTTATCTTTTTGAGTAAAAAAACGTTTCCTCATGTTTGTGAGAGTTTCAAAATGAATCACAGAAAACCTGTTGCAGAATTTGTATTCCTACTTATGAAATACACATTCAGATGCATATATATTGTTATTATTAATGCCTAGAATGAAATTTAAGATGTTTTATAAGAAGAATGAATACAAATTTTGCATTGTTCTTTATATATGCAAGAATGAAATGTACTGTTGCAAAACTTTATACATTGTTATTATGTTAAGAGGCAGAAGTATTGTGCATGAAAATTATGCTTGGAATTGTCTGTAACATACATATTGTATATGTGTATATAAATACAAAAGCAGTTTGTTCTATTCTTGCTTTTTTTTTTAAAGAAGGAAGAGATGTTACTTACAAATAAATTAATTTTTATTTTAATTTATATTTCTCTTGTTTTGCGTCTACATGAAAACTCTCTTCTCATACTCACATATGAGACGGAAGTTAATTCAATTTTATAAAGCCCTATGTTTGCAGATAATCAATTCTGCAAAATTCTGTTTTCTCTAAAAATAGTATTAAAAGAAGAAAACAGGGTACACAACAAAATTTCTTGTTGATGTATAAATGAGAAACTACCAAAATTGTGATAATTTTCAAATGAAACTTGGTAGGCTACTGTGTGTATATTAATTGTAGAAAATTTAATATTCATTTTGCAAATGTATATAAACTTGCTTAAAGAGATATTATTCTTGTGTACGATGATTGCAAATAGCTGTGTATTTAATGATATATTTTATTTTTATTTTCCCTTTCCATGAAAGGACTAAATTAGATTTTCTTTGTGAGTGTGATTTGTGAAGCAGTTTGTTGTGTCAAGTTTGTACTGAAGACTTGATAACAATAAAGTAATTCAGTACATTGTTAACCTCTATATTATGCAAGACACATTGCAATAGTAACATCACAGTGTATAGTTGTTTAGTTTCACAAACAAATTTAAAGTGATGTATTACTGTAAAGTAAATTATTTATTTTGGTAGCTATACTTGTAATAGAGAATAATTTTACATTTCATAGAAAACAATTTATATTCGAGTATATAAAATACTCTTCACATTGTGCATTGTAGAATCAATAAGTGCAATTTGTGAATGTGCATTTTTGAATATAATATGAATTTTATTGCAGAATCTGTATATGATTTCCTAGTGCGTTTTTGTTTGCTGAATGTCCCTTCTAGAGATATTTAAAACAGAATACTATTTAGGTTCATTGGACATCAAATTTTTGGATGTATTTTGATAATGCCTAGTCTTATATAAATGCTGATGTTATTAAATTAATTTTTGATAGCTCTAGTAACAGCAAAAGGAAGATAAAAGGCCTTTTTAACATTTGCATGTCTCTTTAGTTTGGTGCTAGTCATTTATACAGTTATATTAGAATACATAGAAAATATTCACAAACTTTTAACATTAAATATGCAAATATTTTGCATTTTCTTGTTTTTGAATGTAAAATACGTTAGTTTTTAGTGGTTAAAACATTTAGAACATGCTCATTGTTTACAAGACTGGCTTTTTATATAGTCTCTCATAAACCAGCCCAGAAAAATGAGCTATGACACGTGTAATTTCAAATTATTCTGATGGTACTTTCATACAGTGAATTGTTGTGAAGACATGTCTGTGTGGGCGTCTTCTCTTTGCAAGCTAAGCAGTTATCAGCACTAGTAAACTTTATATGCTGTAGATATTACCTTAAATTAATAACAATAAATGCTTTTATACTGTTTTTAAAAATTGTAATAACACAAGAATTAATATTTTTTCTTTATTTCATGGTAAGGATTCCTTACCAAAAAAGTCTTTTGAAACATCCCATGAAGATGCGTTCCAGAACCTTCCTAATTTGTTTCAAATTATCTTTCTAAAGTGAAATAGCCTGAAAGATCCTTTAAATTCTCTTAAAATGAAATGGGTGGGAGACAGTATTGAAACACTTAAGAGGAAAATCAATATCCAACATGAAATAGCAAAGACCAAAGGTTTTTGTGTAATTGATTGCTTGGTTGTTACATGACTTTTTCTTTGTTGCTAAATTCTAATCCAACAAGATTACTTCCTTGGATTTTTAGGGAAAGAATAATGTACTGATACCCTGCATTCAAAAGAAGACAGAAATGGGTGAACTAATTAGGTATGGGGGAAAACATATATTGAGGTGCAAAGTGACGAAAGCATAACCTGACTGCCTGGCTTGCCTGTCCGGCAAGTTCAGCCAGGCGGGGGTGGCACTGCCGCCGTGCCGAGGGAGGACACAACGCGCGGGTGACGCAATGGCGTGAAAAGGGGAGGGGGCGAGGTAATTTCCCAAATTTCACTTTACGAAGCTCCTATTCATCCGATTAGCATGATTGACACGGCGTTTGAATTCAGGAAGGTTGACACCATCGCATATGTCCACATTTTTTTAAAAAGTGGTGCTTAAACTTCCGAAAACAATTTCCAATTTGAGTTTTTGCTTTTTTTGGGAAAAAAGACTTCGTAGCGTACTTTAAAAAGGCGTCAAATGCCGTTTTCAGGTCGAAAATCGGCATTCACAACTAATAAATTAATTAATAATTAAATGTGAATTAAAAACAAATAAAATATTAATTCATTTCTTTCAAAATACCCTTTCAAGTTCTTGCTTCAATTCATTATTTTTAAATGGCTTATTATATACTGCTTTCTTACAAGAAATAATGTTTTCCACAGAAGTTTTTCCTAGTTCATTTCCGTTTAAAGAAAAAAATTCAAGTAAGAAATTTAAAAAAAAAATTGTTGTTTATCACATTATTTACTGGTAAATAGTATTACTTCACTCGTTTCTATGCACTGTTCGTGTTTTCCTGCGGCAGCGAATGCCTAAAACAAATGGAGGAGAGAACTCGCTCTACAGAGGCGGACGAGAAAACTCTTTCAAGTGTGTGGGGGTGAAGCATTCTTTGTTTCAATTTTCCACAATTCTCGTCGCACATTTCTGGAAACACATTCCTCGGTGTAGCCTATTGGGGGCCTAACACGGGCTATTGCAAGTGAGTGAGCGGCTGCACTTCGAGTTAGGGTCGCTATTTCTCTGAAAAACTCTTATTATACGACGTAAGTCTATACTGTGCAAACGCTGCATCCGCTGGAAATGGAAAGGTCCAAATCTCTCCTACAGGCAGTATTAATGAATTAATACTACATGTAGTACTAAGTAATTAGTACTACCTGATTAAACTCGGTAATACCATCTGTTAAGGCCCTAAAGCGAGCGCAAGGCAAAAAGCGCGCGAGGTCAATGCATCACAGTCACTTGGCGAACAATTCACGCAGAGAGATTTTGACTTTTCCATTTCCAGCGGATGCAGCATTTGCGCAGTAGAGACGCCCTTCGTTCTGAATTCTCGAGGCATTTTCTGCGCAAATGCAAGGAAAAACAGGAATTTCTGAATCCGTTCTTTGGACAAATACAGCGTGTTTTAAAAGAATTGGAACAATTAATAAGCCTAATTTGCATGTGAGCCGAGACAAATTCATATCTTGCACTTCGCGTAGCTCATCAAGAGTGATTGTCTGAAATTGTGTGGGTTGGCATTGTGGATGAAGTTGCCGTCGGTCCTTGCTTGTTACCCGAGAGTTTGAGAGGCGTTCAATATCTGAATTTTATAACTCAGATAGGCCCTACGCTTCTGCAGGACGTCCCGTTCAATGTGCGGGCACAGATGTAGTACCAGTATGAAGACATGCAATTTCTAGATAGATGGATCGGACGAAGAGTCTTAATAGCACGGTCTCGGTCTCCGGATTTGAATCTGCTGGACTATTTTTCCTCGAGTTTAATGAAAGGCCGCATTTATGCTACTGAGGTAGTGGATCGTGATGGCTTTCTTCCGAGAATTGAAAGCGTGGTGAAAGAAGTAGACTCGACCCGGCAGAGTTGGGCGCGTCACGCGTCTTGAATATAAAAAGTAAAATCATTCATGAACGTGTGTAACAAAGTAAGCTCGAACACGCACTGACTCGACAGACCAACCCAACCAGTTCTAAGTTCAAAAAAATCCAAAAAAACGCACAGAGATGGCGAGACGATGAACACAAAATAAACTATATTAAATTCTCTGTGGACGCAACTTCTGTATGCAGATCCTCTCGCGTAGCATCTCAAATCTAACCCACTCTAGACGTTTAGTCAGCAGATTAGCAAGCTGATTGGTTCCGCCGATGTGCTCGAATTCCAGATCTCCACCCAAGAATCACTCTTACTCCGAAATGTCGAATTTCGATGTGTTTTGATCTGCGATGATGTTCTGGGTTTTGAGCTACTTTTGTGGCACCAACATTATCGATGTAGAGCGTAGGAGATTTTTTCCACAGTTTCCAGAATATCAGAAGTAATATTTTCAGCCAGATTAAATCCTTTCTTCTTTCACTTGCTGCTATTATTTCAGCTTCTGTAGTCGACGTTGCCACTGACTTCTGTAACTTACTGGTCCACGATATTACTCCATCACTGTAGGTTTCAATGACACCTACCGTTGATTGTCTTGTCTTCTTGTCACCGGCGTAGCCAGACCTTCAAACCTTGTCCCTTCTTGAAGACGATTCCATAGTTTACTGTGCTCTTAAAATATAGAAATATTCGTTTCAATTGATTCCAATCTTGATTTGTAGGATGTTCAATGGCCCGAGCTGCTTTCCTAACTGCTAAAGCAACAACAGGACGTTTTGCTTTAGTCGGGCCCACTAATCCTGCCTCATGATAAGGAACCTTGGCTGTGACATTTTCTCCTTCATCGCTGTCCTCGCACCCAATTGGAATAGTCACTCCATTCCGAATCATTCCAAAACTTTCCATGTGTAGTTTTCTTGATCAATTTTTATTGATCCATATTCGTTTTGCTGCATTCTAATGCTCAAGAAGTTTAAGAGAGATCCTCTTGTCGTATGAAATTTCTCCTGTAACATTTCCATAAATTCCTCAAGTTCTTCTATTTCAGTTGCAATGACCCCACCGTGATTCACAAAACTTACAACATACACATGTTTGCCATATCTCTTGATGTAGAACAGTCATCGATCATCAATCACTACTGTTTTGGAATCCAGCTTTCTTAATAAACTTATCGAACTGTTTGTTCCAGTAGCGCGGCGCTTGTTTTAGGCCATACAAACTTTTCTTCATGTAACACTCTCGTTCAGTTGTTCTCAAAACCCCCCGGGTTGTTTATAAATGCCTTATTCAAAAACGCCGTTCAAAAAAGCGGTTTTGACATCAAATTGCATTGTTAACATCAATCAAAAAGTCTCGGTAGCTCAGATCGAAGTCTCTCGCCTTTCATTAAGGAGGTTCAGGTTCGATTCCCGGACAATCTCATGTGAAATTTGTTCTGACAAAACGAATTTAGTTGCTTCACAACGGCTAGTCAATCCCTGAGAAGTGTCCTAAATCCTATCACTTTCCTAATTCCTTCCCAATTCTGACCCCTGTGCAGTGACGCAGAAGAGCGTACGAGAGAGGCGCGTATGCGGATATGCTATCTGGCGGTTCTCTTGATGACTGACTGCGACGAGACTGGACAGCAGATCAACAAAATTAACGGAGGATTACTCCTAACAAGCGCTCAATGCCCTCCTAGGGGTTTGGAAACGCGTTGCGTCAGTACAGACGGCATAAATTAAAGAAAATGAGCTTCATTCAAAATGCAGCAGCCACCGCCAACAATATCCGAATGGTTTCATATTGAACAACAGAATAAATGTCTCTAATTCCCTGTCTTTGTACGAAACCGTGTGCAACCAATCGAGCCTTGTAGCGAATTTTCCCACTGTCCAATAGTTTCTGGAAGAAGACCCAGTGATTCTTCGAGGTTTGTAGATCTTTTGGACGTTTGACCAACACTCAGGTATCATTTTTTACTAAAGAATCCAATTTTTCTTTAAAATTCTTCATCCACTCTTCTCTGTCAGGAGACTACAGCACTTCAGTGTATGAATTTGAATTGTTTTCAGTGATCATGATCCGACCATGTAGACAAAATCTCCGCTGGTCATAAACAACGGTTTCTTCGATTCACGTTTTTTTCTTGTTATCTCCTCTTTGGCATCGTCTTCAGCTGGAACATCACTTTCCCCGGAGCTAGACACTGGTGCAACTTCTTCAGCTTCACTCCATTCTTCTTCCTTTTCATCGTCATCATTTATTTGACTTCTTATGGATTTTGTACATCGGATGATGCGAGTTTTTCACATGAATCTTCAGGCTTGTCAGTATTGACGCGTACATTACAGACAACTTCAGGCTTGAACCTCACATCGTGGCTAAGGGCTATAGCCTGAGTCTGAATTCAGAACCCTATCGTTCACGCATCCAACCAGATGTCCATGAACAGCTTTATCGTCAAACTTAGAGCAGAAGTTCTTGTTGATATGCACGTAGCATTCCGTTCCGAAAATCTTCAAATGATTGACTTCCTAGTGGTTGTCCACGCCACAATTCATAAGGTGACTGAATTTCAACAAAAGACTTTGCAGTGCGATTCAGCAGGTATGTGGCAGTATAGCATGTTTCTGTCCACACTTTTTTTTGTCAACTGGCTTAGATTCAACATGGTCCGCGCGCACTCGACAATGGTTCGATTTTCATCCTCCGCAACACCATTTTGCTGTGGTGTAGACGGTGCAGTAGTGTTCTACGCCCCTGCTTGCAGTTCAGAGACCTTGTCAAATTATTTTCCTTCATTACACCTCAGTTGCTTAATAACATGTCCATTCGCCTTGCCTCTATTCAAAAACTGCTCCA